CTGCAACTATCGCTTTTGTGCCCTGTGATGGGTTGGGCCCCATCCTGGGTTGTTCCCTGCCTTGTGCCCTGTGATGGGTTGGCGCCCCATCCTGTGTTGTTCCCTGCCTTGTGCCCTGTGATGGATTGGCGCCCCATCCTGGGTTGTTCCCTGCCTTGTGCCCTGTGATGGGTTGGTGCCCCATCCTGGGTTATTCCCTGCCTTGTGCCCTGCGATGGGTTGGCGCCCCATCCTGGGGTGTTCCTGCCCTTTGCCCGTAGCCTCTGGGATAAGCTTCGGACCCCCCGTGACTAGGACAAGAGATTACAGAAAATGGATGGATGGATGGATGGGTTACCCCTTTGGCCCAGTGGGTCATACTCTTGCTTGACTCCTCCAGCACTGGGTTTTGAACCCCCCTCCGCCTGGTGTGTGCAGTTTGCATGTTCTCCCTGTCACTTGAGCTCCCTGATGGCCTCTCTGGATGCTTTGGGTCCATGATGGTCTCCTGAGGAGAGACCACAGCCCCTAGGTTACCTGGATCCAGGTGTTCAGAGGAACAACAGCTGCAAGTCCCTTTGAGTTGAGGCTAATCCAACATCCTGGCAACAAGCCTCTCACAAGCACACTGGCTCATTGCTGTCCCCGTGTATGATCTCTGTAATGTATGAGTAACTGTGCATTGCCCCTAGTGTATGATTAATCTTGGTACAGGAACTGAGCACTGTGGTGAAACCATAGCTACAACACAGTAAAAAGATTTATAATATGATCTTATGACTGACTATATATATGGGATGGCAGATAGTTTGAGTCTCATAGGTAACACATCCAGGAGAAGGTCCAGAGAAAACCCTGTAAGCAGCTTTCTGTCTGATTTGTGAAGGTACATTTCACTCGTATTTGATTATATTTGTGTAAATTACTAAAATTCTTGGGGTTACAAATAAGAGTTTTATATTTACATTTGAGGGTAGACACTATATGGTACTGGTATGTTTCAGAATATATGAGTCATGATTAGAATGAGTAAATGTAAATATTTTTATTTTCAGTTGGAAAAATGAAGCATACAAATAAAAACATCTTTGAGGACGTGCATTTGAGGCTGGAAGACCTAAAACGTGAGCCTGACCTCCAAGACAACGGGTACCTTCACAAACCTGTGCCTCTAATGCCGATTCCGCTGGAGTTCCAAATTACCAAAGTGATTCATGTCACTGGAAAATGGGGAATGAGGGGAATCCTGGGTGAATCTGGATTCCGGCTCGGGGAGAACGCTGGATATGGAAACGGGACGCAGTTTCTCTGGTGGAGCCTGGCTGTGGATGATGCCGACCTCCTGCCAGCACAGCATCGCTTTCTCAAGGCTTTTCTTCCGCATATCACTCCCGAAGAGGTGGAGAATCACCCGGAATTCCTCAGCCAGTTTACCACCTCGACTGCCTTCCAGCTGGGATCCCGCTACGGCACCTTTAAGTTCACCTTCTCCCTGCAGGAGCTCTTGCAGAAGTTCAGCGAGCAGCTCTGTGAGGGCGAGAGCCCCGTGCAGAGGGTTTATAAGACGGTGGTCTATAAAAAGGAGATCATGCATGTTGTGGTCATTCACAGCCCTGACGTTCATGACTTTGACGAGTGTCCCATTCTCCAGGATAATGAGGATGTTCCATGTGCGCTGAGGGATGGCTCCCTCTTGTGGCGTCCACGGGCAATAACTGATCCCTGTAGACGAAAACTAGTGATGGAAGAAGATGGTAGAAGTGTCAGGGTGGAGGAGCTGCCCGGTGGAGATGAAAAATATTATTTCATGTGGGAGCACGGGGCTCTAGCGTTTCACATCCCGCCAGGGCAGACGCTGCGTTTCGAGCGGGATGAGCTGATTAACAGCCTCAGTGCCTGTGATAAATTAACACCAGACCTGTGTTATGATGGGGTAACTTACGAAGAAGCAAAGACGATCGTTGCTGAATTGAAAGAGAATTGATAATTTGTCAATGCCTGTGTGTCGTTTGGGTGTTTGTGGATGACAGAATGGCACAGCAAAGACTGTGACACGATCCATCCTGTAATGCCGAAAGATACCCTTCAGTTCTTATCCTACATTTTGCAGAATTACCACTCAAGATTTCCTTTTGGTTTATTTTAATTGATTGGGTACTTTTTAAGTGAATCATTGTGTTTAGAATGTACTGATCAACCAGCAGGTGGCATGGTAGCTAAACACAACACTGTAACATGACTGACTTGCTATATTTATGTAACATTTCTTTTCAAAATACTCTATCACATGTCATATATTCATTATGATGATATTATTGCCGTTTAGCGTTATAGTTGTGGGTCTGTACTGTTGAAATAATATTAAACGTTTAAACATTGGTTAATGGTGTTTGTGATGCTGTCTCTTACTTGACTTTATACTTGCAAAAGACGGTGCAAACCAAATTACACAGTTTTACTTGTCCTGAAGCAGAAAAAGACTCCCTTAACTTTTGTGTGCTGTTGAGGATTGACATGTCGGGTATTTAATGGTCGCAAAGTCATCTGACAAAACAGCTAACACCTCCAACAATTGTCTAAAGAATGGGAAATATGTAACTGATTTGAATTATACTTAATTTGTAGATGAAATTGTAACATCAAATTGAAGATACACAATTATAAGCTTAAAATTGCATCATGTCCCATTGTAGTAGTACTAACCAAATGACACTGTGTGATATCAACTTCCCTGAAATGGATTAGGCTTGTTAAGTCAACACAATGTGATATGCAGATGTTATTTAAAAGTCAATGGTCACATTTATTTAGTCAAACAACACCATTTTAAGTAAAATACTGTAATCAAACAATATAAAGACATGCACACACGTCACATGAATCAAATGCAAACTACAAATACTATATACCAATACAAACTGCGCAACAAATTGTGCATTAATAAGAATAAGGACAAGTGCTTAAAATATTCTGACATCTTGATGTCTGCAGTGGCATGTGATTACACATTTAACTAACGTTTAACTAGCGATATACTTATTTTGCGCGAATAACGCGTTTTTTGATTGGATGCGCGCCAATGTCTGAATCACAACAAAATGCATTTATGTCATTGATTGGTTGCATTTGAAGGGTGCAAAAGGCAAAATAATAATAACGTTGCATTATTGAACGTTACGTTGTGTGTCATGGATACTTTTCGCTCCAAATCTCCCGACCACTATGTTGATCTGAGACAGCAAGACCAAGACAGCGAGACCAAGACAAGACCAAGGGACCCGAGAGCAAGACAAGACCAAGACCAAAGACCGTCGAGACTGTGACAAGACCAAGACCACGTAAAAGTGGTCTCGAGACATCCAACTCTATGAATGACATCGAAAAATCTGGGTCCAGCTAAGCCAGATGCTGTGGTCTCTAACCAGGGTATCACCATGGACTCCTAACATCTCATTGGGGTGCTGGGTAACTCTGCAGGTCAAAAGTTACTGTCCAAAAGCATAAATCACAGGCCCCAGCGAGGATTGAACTCGCGACCCCTGGTTTACAAGACCAGTGCTCTAACCACTGAGCTATGGAGCCTCAGGTACAACCTGTTGGACTGTCAGGTTAGTTAAAGTGTGTACCCAGCCCTCTGAAAACAATGACTGCACCTTATGCAATAGGTAGGTGACTGAAAACGTCGCCCTGTGGGATGCATGTTTTACACAGTACACACTGTAAACACACACTTCCTGAGAGGCACCACACCCAAGACGAGAGGTGAAAGAAAGGAACAGGTGAGAATATAAAGACTTTAGTGAGTAAGACCTTCCTGACATTTCACCAGCGTCAGCCTTCCACTCCCACATAGCAGTGAGCAAACAGGCAGGGATCAATGCCAAAGCCGGAACAGGAGCATCTCTGATTGATTTACATGAATTATTGTAACTGGTCAGGCCTTTCAGGGACCTTCACAATGCTGGTTCTCTTTTACTCAGTTAGAATTCAGTTCCTTAGAACCCAACGCATGCTTGACCTCTCTGAGTTATATACTGCTTTTAAAGATGGGTATATTATTATGCACTCAGTTTGCACTTTTGTAACACACAATTTGCAAATGTGTAAATACAATCCACTGCACAGCACTCACACAACTCACTGCTTTACACACAATTTCCAAATGATCAACACACTCCTAGTAAAACTATACACATTTATGGCTATTGTTTACCCTATTTTGCCAACTGTCTGGCCACACTGTCACATGTGAAAACTGTTTTAGATAATTAGTTCACTTTTCAATCAGCATGAGCACTATAAATAAGGCACAGGTAAGCTTTCAGTGTGGAGAACAATGGAGGGAGAAGGAAGACTGAGAAGAGTGAGAATTAGAGGAGGGCGAGGAAGAGGACAAGGACGAAGACTAGGAGGTGAATTTAGAGGAGGAGGACGAGGAGGTGAAGAGGAAGGAGGAAGGGTTTGTGCTTATTGTTTTTGTACAGTAGAGAATATTTACAATACAGCATGTATACTTCTAACAAGTTTATCTTTTTGCAGAATTGAAAGATGGTCACATAGGGGTGGAAGAACACTTGTGTTCTCAGACCAACAAGAGACAGTAATTGTTGAGATGGTCCGTCAAAACAATGCAAAATGACTGTATGAAATACAACAGCGGATTATTGAAGACAAGGTGCATTTTGATGGAATAAACCATGTGAGTTGTTTAACAATTGACCGTGTCTTGCAACACAACCAGATGAGGATGAAACAAGCCTATCGGGTACCATTTGTGCAAAACTTTGAAAGAGTTTCTGTAAAAGCACATAATGTATTTTGTTTGGATGTAAATAAGCTTTCATAAGTGCAGGAATGTTCAAATATACTAAATAAAGATAATTTTCCTTTTATCCCAGAGTGTTTTGCATTTGTTTATGTAGTGTGTCACAATTGCTGTTAGTAGCGTTTTTACATTGGCTGGTTTTGTGTGTTTTCTGACAACTGTGCTTGATTTTGAGTAAAATTAAAATAGTTTTGGGAGTGGGAGGGCATACCTGGGGGTGTGAGGGAGCGCAGTCATTCAGTGCCAACGGCTTATGGTCATCAGTATGGGTTCAGGGGGAGTCTTACTCTGTCTGTAAGGCGCTCCCAGGATCTGAATTAGCTGAGCTTAAAGACGTCCTTAAGCACCAACAGGATCAGCTTACTCAGTTAACTCAGAGTATTGCTTCCTTGCAGGAAGGACAGAGGCGCATTAAGCTTGCTTGTGATGGCCCTGTGATATGTAGGAGATGTGTCAACGTCCTGGTCATTTCGCTAGAGAATGTGATGGTGAGCGAGTCCCATTCCGGCCCCGTTCAGCTTCAGTTGCTCCATCCTCAGATGGAGCTTAGAGGTCCACTAGTTCCATTCAGGGGTCGGAACACTAATGCCCACTGAATTGCCGAGCCACAGTCCAGATGAGGCAGTGATGGGCTCAGGGGTTGGTCTGATGGGGGGGGGCATGGCATCTACACTTATGTCATCATGTCCTCACCTTAATGTCACTATTGTATTGGGAGGGTTAGCGTCCCGTGCTTGGTGGATACGGGGCAATGGTGTCCACCATTGTAGAGAGTTTTTTTCTACAGCATTGCAAACCATGGGGCCCTGATCGTTTGCAGTCTTGTCGGTGGCTGCAGCTTCGAGCGGCTAATGGCCTGGCCATTCCCTATGTAGACTATCTCAGAGCGGCTAATGGCCTGGCCATTCCCTATGTAGACTATCTCGGAGCGGCTAATGGCCTGGCCATTCCCTATGTAGACTATCTCGGAGCGGCTAATGGCCTGGCCATTCCCTATGTAGACTATCTCGGAGCGGCTAATGGCCTGGCCATTCCCTATGTAGACTATCTCGGAGCGGCTAATGGC